CAACAGATATAGAACCTGTACCAACCAACACACGACAGTGAGAATACTGTCAGGCAATCTAAACAGCTGACAAGTTCCCTGAACCTTGACATTATGAGAGGTATGCTATCTGACACCTGAGTGATATACAATGAATCTCCCTTTATAAATGATGTTACCTTACCCATGTTCACGCCACATTACATGTGTGATTTGTGTTAGAGTTATCTCCCCTAGGGGTCGATGCATGCTACCATACACAGGTGTGATATTTCTTCCTGAAGAATATAATTATTACATTGCTTTACTCGGGTTGAGCATAAGTCAATCCAATGGATTTTTCATATTTACCCCAATATGGTCAAGACGAAAAGCTAGCTTTTTTTGTGTAGACACAGATTTGTAAATGGCCAAAAGTGTAGGGGTTTTTTTCTTGAAAAACTATGATGCCCACATTGCCCACTTTATGATTTATACGCCAATTTTAGTTTAAAATTTTTATCTTTTCTTTTGATACATGTTATATTCCAGGGGTTATTCATTTTACAAAAATATAACCAACGGTCACCATACGCTCCTGAAGATGAAGGGGGCACCATTACATGAAAAAAAGATATCTATAGACGAAGTTTACTGGTGAACTTTTGGAATCTGAATTAAAACCGTAAAAGAATGACTCGAGTAGTTTTAATAGAGACGAAATATCTTGCTTAGAGATGATAAGTGGGAAGAACAGACATTAAAAATGAGACTGTCAAGTATTTTAAGCAAAATTATCAACATTCTGCCATAATATTATTATAGATACAGGAATAGTTTTTAAAGTATAATTTATAATAATCAACAGCCTTTTTCAACTTTTGACTGTGGTGATCTAACATGCTCTGAAAAAGAACCACTTGCTCAAAATATTAAGATCCGAATCAATATTTTCCCGTTTCAATTTCATTGAATCAATATTGAAAAATAAACATATTTTATTTCAATGTCAAACAAATATCAGCATTCTAGTACGAAACCTTAACCAATGCCAACAACTACATTTGAATAAGCGAGCTAACAGAAAATAAACATATATGAAGGGACTATAGAAACAACATTATAGGCTTTTTAATGCTATCTTACTTTTCAATACCATATCAAGCAATTACTAAAATTGATTCATATGCACACATTTTAAAGTTATTCCACAAGACTGATATCCTTGGAAACTCCTTATTTACATAATTTTTTCCTCTTAATTTTCCTTGTAAATTAGTTTGACAGCCTACTTTTCCTTGTAATTCATAGATCTGAAGGCCGACCCTACCTAGTGATAGATAGTTTCTGTAATTCATAGATCTGAAGGCCGACCCTACCTA